GTCTGAGTGTGTGTGTGTGTGTGTGTGGTACTATGAATGGGGCTTATCATTCCACAAAGATATAAAATTATGTTGTTCATTTACTGTGAATAAAGGTGAATCTGTATGTGTGTGTGTATACATTTCATCTTGTGAATGGTCCTGTCTGACTAATCCCAGCAGGGGAAGGCTGCTGAGCGCTGCCACAGTAATTACAGGAAGAAGCTATCTTAAACTATCTCTCACTTTCCCTATGGATGGCTATTTCTCTCCTGTAAAATGAACTGTAGAGTAGAATGATGTAGCAAGGTGTCTGATTTAATGATTACATGCATGCTTCATTCACCATATATAGTCATATATCTATCAATATTGTTATTATTTCAATAATAAACGTTTTTGATAAAGATCCCATAGATTTTATTATTAGATGATTGTCTCTGAGTTACAGTATGTATTGAGTGCAACATTTTACCTTGTAAAAATAAACTAAATGACCTTAAATGTCTATGGCATTTCTCTGCAGCAATTTCTTGGTAGTTTTTGGCCAACGCACTGTATGTATACTGACACAACGGTACAAATACTCAAATGTAAAACACTTGCCCGCCACTGGAGGGACCCAGTTCAGTTCCTGGTAGCTGTGCCTCAGCAGCATCTGTGTGTTGAATGCTGGTAAAGCATCATGTTCTGGTGACAGCTGGTGATATGTGTAACGAAGGAGGCACACATGGTAGTTTGCCAACAGAGGGGATGTTGAGGATTGTTGCACACATAGGTAAATTGTGTAAAAAAAAGCTAGAAATTAACATTATTAACATGTGTTTGCTAGCAGTGTCCTCACCTGTGTATTGTGATTGCTTATTGTTTGTCAATGAAAAACAAATTGCTGCAGCGATGCTCAGGTGGCCTGAAACCCGAATGAAACTAGCTACCTCACGCTGGGTGTTTTGAAAGCTGATTTAATAAATAAGTCATGAATAATAATTTATCTTGATTTAATTCTTCAGCATTTACTTTAAAAGTTCTTGTGACAGTCCACAGATTACCTCATCTCCATTTATAGTTCAGTGGAAACAACTTTCCCAAGCTAAGTACTGTGTTCCCAGATGGATACTGCCAAAGTGTGGATGTTTTTGTGTTTGAATGAAAATAGCCCTGGAAAAACAGCGGTATATGATTTATTCATCAGCCAAAACCATTTTAGAGCCAAATACAGACTAAAGGCAAAGAGAAGCCGGGGTTGTCAGTAGTTTGAGCTCAGCTTTTCCTCGCTGTTGTGGTAAATTCCCCTCAGAGGCTTGTCGTGGGCTCCGTTGCTGCTGTATCCTTTTTTTGTCAAGATTCACTCTCTTTCATTGTGTTTCCCTCAATCCTCTGAACTCTCTCCGTCTCCCTGCCTCTAACCTCTTTCTGTTTCTGTTTCTCCTGCTATTTAAAACAGGCAACCTCATTTATCAGCCAAAGTTTTATTCCCCCCCAAAAAAAGGTATTGAAGACTTTATACACAAGGAGTGCAGCATTTCTAAAAACATTTAAAATTAAGATTCATAGGAATATTCAAACATTATTTTAACTCAGTATTATGAATAAACAGAGACTGTTTTGCCCTAGGTGTATGGAGTATGGACGCCTCAGAATATTCTTTATACAATATGTTTTTCTATCTGCAGGGTGGGAAATTAACATCTTTAATGATTAACATCTACCAGCCAGTGGCAGATAAATGTACAAACTCACCAGCCCCTCAATAGTAAGTCATTATTTATGTCTGAAATCTACCAGCCACTTATATATTTTGCTAATTTCCCAGCCTGCTATCTGCCTTTCACTGCGTTTATTGTGGTTATGGGTAATATCAGTGTTGCAGACAAAATGCGGTATTATTCCTTATTCCTTATGCATGGTCACATATATATTCACAAATTATAGCGCTCTGAAGCATTCACATTATGTTCCCCATATGGCTAAAATGGGGTGCTGTTGATACAGTTTCAGAATTTTTCTTGAATAAATCTAAAATACATGTTCAGGAATTGTAGGAGTTGTAACACAGAGTATTAAAGTGCAACAGCACAGGACGTGCATACATAATATTACTTAAACTGTTTTGCAAATGCGTGTGCACCTACTCTTATAAAATTGTACTTAATGAAGACTAATATTGTAGTGTTAGCAAGGATGAAGAATGCATCTGTTTCTATGATATTCTCTGTTACTCCCATGCCTCTCAGACCATGCTGCTTCTCAGAGCCATGGGCAGTCGGGGGAGGGGTAGTGCAAATCATGACGGGGGGGGGGAAGAGAATTTTGATGGAGAAGGAGGGAGAGAGGGGAGAGGCTGATCAATAAGCTGAACTCTTGAGCGCAGGAACCTGCAAAGCTCACACAGCCCACACCTTTCACACAACATTAACTGCAGCGTGGGATCGCAGCACAGCAAGCAGAAGCAGAACACACATACAGATACACAGATACACAAAACACACTCACACATAGACATGTAATCTGTAAATTGTAAAAATCTCTCTTAGCACCAGTACTGAGAAAAATTCCTTTACATGCATTGCTTTGAATTATCAAATTATTCTGATTTTAATGCTACTTTTAATAAAACTGGAATATCTTTTCTCTTCGCAGTATAATTACATTTTGATTAATAGTTGCGATGTTAACATAAATTCTTTTTTTTACCGGTGTACAGTAGTATCTGATCAGTACTTGTGTTTTCTGCAATGTCGCTCAACGGGGAGCTAGCAGTAATTGTATTCACAGTGGACACACTCTAAAGCTAGCTGTGCCATTTGTCACTTATCTTCAGTGGTTTGGTCACACCTTTATATGTGCTCCTTGTGTACTTTCTTGTTTGAAGAACAACACACTTAAGCTGCCTGTCACACAAAGCGGTCTCTGTCTATCACTATCGGAGACAAATTTGCAGCACTCTAAGGGATGAATTTTCCCAATGAGTAAAAATGAGAAAATGTACTACTTCTCATCTTCTTCTGAAAGTGCAAATATTTCTAACTGGATTAGTCCACTTGAATTTTAACAGCGTTAAAAGAGAAATGTATATATATTATATATATATATATATATATATATATATATATATATATAAAACATATATAAAATGATTTTATCACTGTTAAACCATGTTAAAAACCATGCACATGTAGATGCAGTAGTCAGTAGTTCAGACTTGCTACATTCTTGTTTTACTCAGAAATCTTTTTGGGCTTTATTGCTGTAAACATCATGGGATGGTGTCTGATTGGTTTGATTTTTAAGGGATAAGCCAAAATTGTTGCAATTGACTAGACAAGGAGATTTTGACTGTGGCAGCGTCCGTGCATTCAGATGCTGTGGCCAAACTAACCTACAGGGTTTGGATTAAGGAGCAGCAGACTTTAAGACAATCCAGATAGACCTGACGGGACCAGCCCACCGTCGCTCCAGGAGGACAGGGATAAGAGCCAGATAGGAGCCTTGCTGACCCAGCTTGGACTTAAGGCTGCTCCTGGCTAATGTCTGGTTTGGATGAAATGAGACTCACACTTTAAAAAGACCTGCTCCATCAACATCTCGTACAAGCACTCGACGGGTGGACTGTGTTCTGGGGCGACAGAGCGCAGTACGAGAGGAGGCATACTCTGTGTTTACATCGATGATGCTTGATGCTCAAACGCAGTTAAAGTGGATGGACACTTTCTTTTTATTTGAAGATGAAATCATATTATCATCACTATATCATTGCTGCTGTTTACATTCCCCACAATGCATATTCAAAAGATGCACTGTAGAATTATTTCCTGAGTGTATATGTGTATTTATATAAATAACTGTATATTGGTTTTTTTTTTACATTTTCTGTGAATTTCATCATCTTTTTCTTGTGTGTAGCACGAAGGAACTGCAGACTTTCATTTCGTTACATAACCTTGTCTTATATAATTATAAATACATTTCCTTGATTCCTTGATATATGTAGTATACTTACAATTCATGTTTGGGCTTTGACATGTACCTTCCCAAGTCAGTATGATGTACATGTACATTAGAAGCTACCCTCGCTGTTTGAATAGAAGAAAAAGAGTAAAAGAGAGTGAGAGCATATAGAAAAGGGAGGCATGTGAAGGGAGATGGATAAAAAAGGAGGAGAAGCAGGCAGCTGGAGGGGACGGAGAGGTAAATGGAGGGTGCTACTGAGAGATTTTTTACTGTGAAAGCACGATGGAAGAGAGAGACAAAGAAGCCTTGCTCACCTATGTCTAAAATGGATAAAAAAAAAACACAGAAAGAGACAGCGAACAGACAGGAATGCCTGTATGTATGGTATCTGGATGTGTGGGAGACAACCACACACACACACACACACATACATTCACACACTCTCTCACTAATGAGCTCTTCACAAAGAGCCCTCCCTCTATACCTCCTTCCCTTCCTCCCTTGTGCACTTCCCTTCTTCCTTCCCTCATTCCCCCGCTGCCTCTGTCCTCCTATCATCCTCTTTTATTCCTCTGAGTGGATTTCCTTCACAGGGCCACCAGTCGGTCATTCTGCCTAAAACCTCTCTGCTTGTTTTTCATTATTGATGAAATTAGAGTTAAAGAGAGCTATCCTTCTACACAACACGCACACACACAATACACGCAGACACACGAGCAGGGGGAGTTAAGGTTCGAGGAGCAGGTGCACTTCAGGTTGTCTGTTTGTGAATGTGTGTGTGTGAGAGAGAGAGGGAGAGAGAGAAAGAGACAGTGATACACACACACAGACAAAGCTCAAACATTGCCACCTGCTCTCCAGCTTTGATCGAAGCTCGTCTGTGTGCTCACCGAGAGCCGAACGGTCGCGTGAAAGAATTCATGCATGGAGAGAGAGGGAGAGAGAGCGAGCAACACAGACAATATGCGCTAAAAAAACAGAGAGAGTCATAGAGAGGGAAAGAAGGGGGGTTGGCTTAGATACAAGCATCATAGCAGCTCATGTTCTCCCACCAGCTCTGCTTTCTCCAGCACACAAGAAGACAGATGCTCAGCCACCACCTCTCTCATCCCCTCTCTCTTAGTCTCTCTCTCTCCTCCTAGTTTGCTGTCCAGTGAGGAGGCTCCTCCTGCTGTGTCGCCCGGTAGGCAGTTACAAACGTTACTATTTTGAGAGAGTCAGTGTGTGTGCGTGTGTGCGCGCTCTCTGCGTGCGGGAGCAACGAATCGAAAGAGGAGAGAGGCAGAGAAAAGGCAGAGCGGGGTTTGGCTTGTTCTTCTGCACATGAAGTGCTGGGCAGAAGAGGGATGAAGCAGCGCAGGGAGACTCGGACCCGCTGCTGACGCTGTGCCACTGAATCCAGGTAGAAGAAGACAGTAAAGTCAGGAGGTCGTGTGTCAAGGAGCTTTGAAGAACGGAACCAAAGGGATAAAAAAGGGGAAAGAAGGCAAAAGGAGAGAGGGAGGTGGAGGTGAGCGGAGAGAGGAAAGATGGCGAGTTTTGGGAAACTCACAGACTACTTTAATCGCCGTAAGTCTCAAGAGGAGCTGCGGGTGGGCAGGAGCACGCAGCGCAGTGGCAGTTACTGCTGCACTGTGGCAGAGGCCAGGTAACCTGTGTGTATGTCTATGTGTGTCTGTGTCTGTGCACAGGTGTGCTAGGCTACATGGGTGCATGGCACACTATGCATTTGTCTCTATGGTTGTGAACATACATTGCTATGTCCCTGTATGTGTTTCTCTTGGTGCAGAAAAATGTGTTTTCATGCTGTGTCTTTAGAAGATTATGGTATCATTCCTCATTGTACATCACACACTGTATAACAGTGTTTTTCTCACAATGGAATGATTTAATAATATTTACTTATTATTAAATAGTTTGATGTAATTATAAAAAAAGGATAGTTCCCCTCAATCAAAGTAAATCTGAATAAGGCTTGAAGTTGATAAGTTGATAATGTTGAAGTCAATCTATCAGTGTATTTCTGTATTCAGACAGGACTGTCAAGCATATAGGTGTTTGTATACGTGTGCGTGTAAGCATGTGTCTGTGTGCATGGGCATTCAATCACAGTGTTACATAAGTGTGGAGGTGCAGTGGATATGTGCTGACAGGCATGGAGCTGGCTACTATGGATTCTTCCCACTGATGCATCGTTGAATACAGAGGCTTTCTATAGATAGAAACAGAGACGTTGAAGTCGATATTCTGCATATAGAGACAGAAAGAGGGAGAAAGAGCTTTTGTGGGCAGAGTGTACCTCGTGCACACTATCTCTTCCTGCAACACCCTGTCTCACATATATCGTACCACTTGTTCCCAATGGGAGCTTCCCAGTGACAGCCACGACCCTCAAAGATTGAGCAGTTGGTGTTGAAGAGGGCAATATTTTTATCCTTCAGGTTTTACACTCAGTATTTCCCAGACAGTCTGGGGATTTTAAGCAGCAATCTTAATGCTAAATCAACTCTACCACCACCCCAACTGGCTACATTTTACATTACTTTGGAAGTGTGTGTCTTTCACAGTCACCTCTGAATATGAATATGATGATGTCTAATTTTACATTTTCTTTGCGGTTTTGCTGTTGTTTATCTAAATATGGAGGACAATGTCTGACGCACCTTTCTAAGATGTATTTTGAAATTTTACTTCCATCGCAACACTTTTATATATCCATTTAATTTTGTGTGAGACAACCGCTCACAACCTGCAAACTTAATTTGCCCGGCTTCGTTAACTTCTAACAAACTCTTACTGCAATTAGCGTCCTCAGTTCAGAAAGTACATGTAATTTGCTTAGCTTGCTGTTAAAGTAGGACCCCCTAGGAAAAAACCCTACAAGACTTCACTAAGTGTTTCTCTATTTGCTTCCCAGTTCTTACTACTGCTGACGGTGTATTTTTAAAAGTGAACCCTCAAAAATCCAAAGTTTTAACAATAATTCCATTAATTTTCTTATGAGCTGATGTTAAATTATATAACCAGGATAAAGTAAGTACAAATCAGAATACTAGTGAAAAAACTCCCATCACTAATTGAAATTTTGAAAAAAATTGTCCATCAAATCTCATATCGTTCATTCACAGCACAAGTGTTAATGTGGGTGTACCCGTTGTACAAAAACAAGCTCTCAGATTCCCTGCCATTACAAATCTAGCATCTCTCTCATCCTTACAGTGTCTTTGTCTCGCTGTCTCCCACTCACTGTCTCTTTCTCACAAGCCACCCTCTTCCTTCCTACGCCCTTCCATCTCTACCCTGTCTGACTTCAGTTGTTCTTGTTTTTGTTTTTTTTAATCACTATCGCCCCTTTTTCTCTCATGCCTGTCCACCCTGTACTGTGACATCCAGAGCCAGAGGAGGTTTGGGTATTAGAGTTGCGACAAGTCTGTTTGTAGATGTTGGACCAGGGTGGTTGAGCTCTGCGTCCTTTGTCTCTGATGAAATATGAGCAGAAAAGTGCAAAAAAAGGTCACAGTTATTAGCTTAGAGATTTATGTTTTACTGAGAAGCGTGTGTTTATGCATGTATGTCTTATATGTCTTGTATGTTGTGCTGAGAAAGAGAGTGACTGAAGGGAAAGGAGGTTCATGGCCTTAGTCTCTCCAACATTCCGGTATTGTCTAGTACTCATGTCACCTGCCACCTTCTACTGAGACTAATTAATGACCTTGCTTCTAAATTTAGATTTGCCAGGAGCCCACACTGTACTGTATTCCCACCCCCATTTGCCTTAAAGCCATCAAACTTCCACTTCGGCCAGACTTCACTGAGATATTTGGAACATTTGCAGCTTGAGCCCATATTGCTGTAACCTTCACAGGTATTTTTGTTCCAATAAAACCACACAATTCCATCTTAAATGCTTTCGAAATGCTAAAGGATATGTCACCTTGGCCATTATTGTTACTCTGATAAGTCATCGTGTTGGCTGTTTTTTCATAAGTCTGCTTTCGGCAACTTAGCTCTGCTCATTTTTTCCCTGTCTCACTTTCTCTTTCAGTTGTGCTGTGAAGGAGCATGATTATAGATTACATGCAAATTTACTTCCAAAAAAGAAATACTGTAGTTTCAGCAGTTTTTTTTTGCATAGGGTCGCCACTAACTGTTCCCTCTCTGGGCTACAGCCATAATGAATGGTGACAATTGGTCAGCACATAAGAAATGAAGCGCAATGACGAATCAGTAATGTAATGAACACGTTAGTGTCCACCATCATTCCATAATGTATAGTGATAAATCTGCAAGTCAACAATGACCTTTGCACCTGGCTGTCACAGAAGCTGCTCCAGGCTGCTTCATTGAACCTATTCAGTCCAGCGACTCCTCGACCAGTGTCTACTGCATCACTGAAAGATAAAGACAGAGGTTTATCAGTCCATCTCCTTTTGCCGCAGAGGATCAGTCCTGTTTTCTCAAACCTTCTTAGAATTGTCCGTGGCTTCCTGACTCAGCACTGAGAAATAGAAATGGTCTTATCACGGATTAGTTTTGTCTGTAGATTACACCTTTTTGAATATCCATTTTAGTGGAGACGGGGTAGAGTGTGGGAAAAAGATATTGCAAGATGAGAAGTAAAATGAAGAGAAAGGAAACGCAGCGTGTGTCGAAGACAAAAGAAATGTAGAGAGAAGAGAGAGAACAGAAGTATAAAGAAGTAACGCCTCACCCCACGAAACACACATCTGCAATCAAACACAGTGAGAACACTTTGATACGCATTAAGACTTTTAATGAATGAATCAGCACCAACCAGTAAGTTTGGCTTATGAAAGAATAACCACGTGCTATTTAACTGGCTTCATTAATTAATTAAATTAAGAAATGGAACATTCATTAGTGCTCATGTAGCAGAAGGAGACGGATTGGATGTTGAAAACGGTTCAAAAAAGATATATAGCACTCAATCTGAAAATGGTGTAGTCACAGAGCTAAGATCCAGTTTTTACGAGATGTGACGTGTACTATTGTGTGTGTGTATTTGTGTGTGTGTGTGCAAATTGATTCAGCACCACGGATAGTTCTTACTACAGCTGCATTCAACAACAGTGCCATTCACCATAATACAGCATTCATTGAGCTACTGGAAACAGATTCCCATTCAGTCCAGGCTTAATGATAATGTGACAACCTGTACAGCAGCTTAGATCAAGGTTGAGGGTGTAAACTCACCATGCATCACCCTACTCAACTGTTCAGAAATTAGTTTTAGTTTCAAGGCTGGGAAAATACTTGAGTAGCTGCAGTATCACGGTCAAGGAGTTGCATGTGCTACTTTTAGTATTAAAATAGGGCACTAATACAAATTGCTGTACAACTGTTGCACTAAAACCTGTTCTTGTGGGAGCAAGGTTTAGCCTGCAGCGGGAAACAGAGCAGAAGCTTTTTACAAAGTCTTCTGAGCTCTCCTCATTGTCAATCAAGTGCAAAATGAGATAGAGGGAAGAAACCAAAGAGCCAGAGAATGAGCGCTCAAAAGCATGTGCAGAACGTGTTTTGCTCACATGTGGGCTTCCTCCAACCAAAGACATTATCCTTGTTTTGGCAAATGTCTTCACACAGAGTGTATTTTTACACAGAATATATTTTCACACGCCACCTTCGCAGCATCATCTTTTTTTATGTATCTCTCCTCTTCCTACTCTTAAATACAGTCTAGCCTGTCATTCTTATTTTAAAAAAATCATATCACATATACTGGTTTTTTTTTGTCTAACACATTTTGCACACACAAAAGACTCTAACAAAGAAGGTGAGTTGTCTCCCCTGACAGCAGCACCAGAGATAATACATTGGCAACAGAAAACATGTCGTACACTTGATGCTTACAACTCGGGGCAAGACATTGTTCATGTGCAAATGCAGATTGCTGCTGCAAAATAAAAATTAGCCTTTCCTCTCCTCTCCTCTCTTCTCCTCTCTTCTCCTCTCCTCTTCCCCTGTTTTTGTCAGAGTCGCTTAGCAACAGGTTTGTAGGACGAGTGAGGCCCAAATTGTCAGAGTGGCCTGGGCCGGCTGTTCAACCCAGTATGTTATCATCATGATGTGCTGGTGGGAGGCCACCAACTGTGTTTGTGTGCGCGTGTGTGGTTGTATTTGTGTGCGTGCATCTACCAGTGGACCCTGAGTTATTTCTTCTTATGCCAACTGTGAGTGAGTGTGTGTATACATGTGTGTTTGCTTCGGGCAAATGCTTTTTCATGCAAGTCAGTATGGATTGCAGAGGAGTGAGAGACCTGCCTCTTTCTATTACCATCAAAGTGTGTGTGCTTTGCCTGCATGTATACAGCCAGTATCAGCTCTTCCTCTGATATTCAGCAATACAAAAGCATTATTCATCATCAGACTGGCCCAGGTCCTCCATGTCTCTGCTTTGAGCCTCATTCAGGGATTCACTGATCCCAGGTCAAATATTCACAACTGCAACACCCACCTCCTCTATCAGGGGAGTAGTTTGCTAGCTGACAGCAGGCATACTCTATGTCAGTGCTTTACTTTTCAAGCCTGCGGATGTGCTGACTTAGAACTCGCTGTCGGTTTACCTGATAGCTCCCTGGTGATAAATAGCTCCCAAGCCTGAAAATACATTCTGAACCAGACATCCTAAGGAGTTGAAAGAGAGCTGAAGTATTTCACTCAAACATAGGTGTATTTAGAGTTTTACTCAAGAGCACTTGTCCGTAAAAATTAAACGTTAAAAGCAGCTTGTAAAAACATGCTGGCACTAAGAAGGCTGCTGTTCAATGTGCAACTGAATGATGCTGCAGCATTGGATTCTCTCATCATAATTAATTAATGATTAATAATCTATTGTAAACGAGTCAAGCCTTTAATGGGTTAGATATGATCCCATGCCGAGATCAAAGGATGTATAATTGGGTGGCTTACATCAGACAATAGTGATGATATTTGTAGGAAATGTGCTTATTGGGTGATATGTGAATTTGAATTTGAATTGTAACAGTTGCCATTGTTAAGGCCACTTTGAGACACATATGAGAAATGGATATGCCATCATGGTTTTCTATTGCTTTTCAGCTAAAATAAGATGTAATGTCTCTAAATGTAAAATATCTGTCTGTTAAATACTAACATTTAATAACAATTAAAGCTACAACCACAAGATGGTTAGCTTAGCTTAGCATTAAGACTGGAAACGGGGAAACCAGAGTCTTGTCATCACCGTGAGGTTGCCAGGCAACCAGTGGAGATACCAGGAAGTCATTGCTCCTGGCCAAAAAAAAATAATGAATCGTATAATTCCCTATGAAAATGCAACTTTTAACATTGCCTTTTTTTTGTAAACACACAAGATACTCCTGTTTTCAGTCTTCATGCTAAGCTAAGCTAATTGTTTCCTAGCTCCTCATCTAACAACCATATTTCCCATAATGTTAAAATCAGAGCAGAGTGTGTATGGTTTCGGAGAATAACGGTGGGTGTTGAGGTGACAAATCACTTGAAGCAAACAGGAGTGTGTGGTGGGTGAGAGAACAAAAACAATAGCACATGAAGAGAGAAAATTCAAACAGACAAATATAATCACACACACTGTTCTGTCAGTATATTAACTTGACTTTGTTTGTATGCAGTGTCCTAATCTGCCACTGGAGCTAATGTCAGAGTCAAAATGAGACAAATACATCTCTTAGTATCAGCCCACTATATTTATTTTCTAAAATAAATCCCAGGCTAAAACCCATCTCACTGAAAACATCAGGACACGTCAGCCTGGGGGAACTCAGCTTGCATGTCTTCCACAGATTTTCAGCCCGGGATCATGTGTTCTGTACCCAAACTTGTCACGCAAGGGCCTGGAGGTCAGACATCCTCCACGTCTGCCAGGTTGACTCTTTTGTCTGAAATTCTGGCCACGTTTCAGTGAATTTGATCACATCGAGCTGATCAGAACTGGCGTTGGAGGGGGATTTGCTTATGTAATATTATTCACATATCCTGTAATGTAATGTTATATTGGGAATCTGCTTTGGAGTTATCTTTCGTGTCAGCTACTTGCCTAAAAGGTTTGAATAGTATATTTTATTCAGCTTGAAGAGAAGGTACGGCTGTGACAGGACACTGCAGTAAAACAAGGGGTGTTATTTCTATTTGCATTTACAGTATTGACAGACAAAAAGCCACCTCAAAACAGGCAAAATAAAATAGCTATATGTACATCACGTGTCACTGATATAGATTGTTTGACTGCGTTGTGTCACCAAATTGCTATTAAGTCGATCGTGTGATTGGCTATTGATTGTTGTCCGTGTTATGTACTGCTGTAAAAGAAAGCAGTTAATTTTGTTTGTTGTTTTCCAAATGGCCTTCAGCTTGATTATGCTGAGGTGGAAGCAATTTCACTATTGATCAGTAAAGCTGCTCTCTTGTTGGTCATTAACAGTAAGCTGTGTGTGTACCAGTGTGTACCAGCGTGTGTGTGTGTGTGTGTGTGTGTGTGTGTGTGTGTGTGTGTGTGTGTGTGTGTGTATGGGTGGATGTTTGCGTACGTGGGCTGGTATTGCATTGCACAGTGATAGCTTAGAAATCTGCGGTCCTCTCCTGTGCAAAAATACATTTGATAAAATACACAAGTTAATCAGAGGCTTGTATTAGAAGCCATTGTGTAGCCCACATTGTTTGATGCAGTAGAAAGGAACTCAATCACAGCAAAACCATCATTCAAATTTTCCCAGAAACTACTTAATGTGACTTAAATATGTTTATTTTGATGGAGGTAGTTTCCATAGACAGTTTTGTAGGCTGATATTATGCTACTCTCTGGAAACAAAAGGCTCCATGTAACTGACTATCTATGCTGTCCAACCAGATCATTGGAAAGGAAGCTGCAGAGACCCCTACTGGCTAAGTCCCGTACTCTCCCCAGCATCCCCCAGTCTCCTACAGTGTCCAGGGTCCATCACTCTGATCTCATTGGCGGGAGTCCTCCTCGCAGGAAGAACCCGCCCGCTGTCAGCAGCCACCCGAAGGCCTGCACTCTTCCACCCGCAGGTAAAGATAAAAAGGAAACTGATGACTACAGTAGTTTCCATTGCTTGGGTAATGCGTGTTTACCAAAAACAGCAGCGGGTGACTTTGTAGAATCAGCTGCATCATTTTTTCATCTCCTTGGTTTGTTTATTTGTTCATTTGTTCACGTAATATCTCAGACAAATCACTAATCCGATTTTGACAAAGCCTGATTCTCCCCCAAACGCACTTCAGTACACAATTATGATAAAACATTCCCCTTCATCCTGAAATGGCTGTTTCTGTCTGACTGGCTTTAGCAGCATATTCTCATTTATTCAACAGTCTCTTTATTAGTTGCAATAGTCCTGCACGTGGCCAGATAAAATATATGTCTTGCTCTTACCGCCACTGTTAGATGTACTTAGTTCCCGGGAAACAAGCCTTTTCTCTGACCTTTTCATTCATAACGTGTGTGCCTCTTAAACTACTGATCAAAGAAGTATGTCGGCTGGAGATACAAGAGGAATGATGCCACTGAAGCTTAAACTAAAGCCTACTTAGATATGTCAAACATGTCTGATTTCCTTTTCCTTTCAAACTTTCCACAAATGCTTTGCTTCTTTGATACTTGCTGCACCTGATGAAGCTAGCTATAAATCAAACACCATTCCTTCACCTGAGAGGAGAAACTGTCAAGGTGTCTACTGAAGCTGTAGCCTGCTGACACAGATAGCTTTCGTCTTACAGGTGGATAAGGGTGTTTCTTTAAGAATGAAATCAATAATAAGTGGTGAAGATTTTATGTGAAAGGAAGCCCTACAGTAGGCGTCAGAATGGAGGTTTTCAAAAAGGAAGAACAGAAAAATCCCTTAATACATATAAGCAAATTTGAATTCATGAATGAGCACAAAGAGTGACTAATAAAATCCAAATATTAGAACCAAGAATTTGTCAAATATTCATGTGAACATTTCTTAAGAATACGAAACCTTAAGCTTGCTCTTAAACAGTTTCAAAAGTGACCTATATAGAGTTTGTTTTAATGTATTCATCATTTCTCAGTGGATAATTAAACACCAGAATCGGCTTCTAGCAGCTCTCAGAATTTTTCAAAGTGGGTCATTTGTAAAGTAATCTTCCCACAAACCCTTTAACAAGCACGCCAGCATCCATCATGTCAGAACGCACAGCTATAGAATTAGTGCAGGATGTGCCTCAGGTTGAACATCCTTAAACACACATCTCCTCATTCACATCCTCTGACGAGACATACACAGTCAATTGTTTGTCACTGCTGATTGACGTCGCTCAGCTCAGTTGATCAAAGCTCTCCACCACCGCCAGATGGATGAGAATTGTTACATTTCAGGTGTTGGGATAAAGGAAAATGCTGACTTATTATCAGCCTTATTTGTGATGTTTAATACAAGAGAAACTTGCACAGGAAGGCAGACAGCACTGAGGGTGCTTAGCTTCCTGAAACTGCACTATGTCTTCTGTGTAGCTTTTAAGAAAGAAGAAATGTGTAAGCAACGGCAAACATCAGAGGGAAGGAACTAAAATAAGGTAAAATCTTCCACTTGAAGTAAATCAAAGTCCCACTGGATTCACAGAGAGACTGGCAGCAACACATGAGGTACTAACTTCGAAATAAACTCAGAACAGGCACAAAGTTTTCACAATATACGAAAACAACACTTCTTGCAGCCCCAAAATACGTTTTGACAACAAACTAAAGTGGATCTTCCAACACACCACAAGAAAGTGGTATTTTATGGCGCTTACTGTTCAAAAAATGTGTCAGGAATAGTGCAAAGCACTTAATTGACTCAACATCAAAAAGTGCAGTGGTTCAAGTTAATGAATAAAAGTTATGAAAGAAGAATAAAACCAGTCTCTCTGCAGGACACTGCAGACACTCTCCCTGCCTGCAACCAGCTCTTTTTACCTTTCCCTACCCCACCATCTCTCTTGTTAGAACTGAGATTGAGATGTCCTCTCTGAACCCACTCTTGATATGATCACTGAGCCAACCCCAGCCCTCACTGTTCTAATCCAAACCATTTTTACTCTGACTACATCTAATGATCTTGGACTTCACGACATCGTCTCTGATTGGTTAATTTAGCCAAAGTCCTTCCATTTTATGTCCTGACTTCACCTATCTGAGTGTTGAATCTGTCTGTTTTCACTTGCCCTACTGCTGCTCTGTTGCAGATATCAAATTGAGACAGACTTCAGTGTCACATGGCCCCCTGTTGCCTAGCAACCTCTGTCATCGACCATGATGCTGCCTCTCTCTGTCTACCCCTCTCTCTCTTAATCTCTCCAGTAGTGCTGAAACAACTTTTCTTCTAATTCAAGTTGTTAATATAACCCAGGTACACTTTATTCACAGATTTAAGCAACATCCCATAATAGCTCACATTGGGAGCTGTCCCCTGTCATTTTGTTGCAGCGTTATTTATCTCTGCTTTGGAAGCCAGATGCGTTTTGGTTGCTGCTCAGACAGTGGAACTGATACTGTAATATTTCACACTCTGAAAGTCATTAATAAGCACACACAAAAGCAGTCACTGCCAGAAGACCTTCTGTTTAAATTGTTTCATAAAGTATGTCATTACAGGGAAATTCTGAGGCTCAATATTGTTAAATAAAAAATACAAAATTAAAATAAACTTAAAGTACACAAGTCAGACAAAACGCTGAACTTTAACTTCAGAAACTTGGTGGGTAAGTAAGTAAAATTAGTTTTTTATGTTTCCTATCTAATTATTGTATAAAATGATTTTCTTTACCTCAGATAATGTGTCCACTGTCTGTTACGGCTGTGTATTGGCAATCTGGCGCTACAATACATATCATTATACAGTGGATACAATTCAATATATGGCGATATATTGCGATACTGTGAGCAAGGCATTATGTTGCAATTTTCTAACACCACCATATGAATATAATCAGAGTAAAAAAAGTATAATTTTTTTTTATGCAACCAGAACAGTGAGGTCTTGTAACATCCAACATCAAAGTCCTACATTCAACACTGCTATCTAGTGGCTGGGGGTTTAAACACAAAAACTGATAGAGTGTGTTTGAGAATCTATGATATTGTGATGAAAAACTTCAGGAGACCTTGATGACTTACACAGTAGAATTTAATGAGTCTCGCCCGAGACAAATAAGATCAAGTGAAGCACACTGGAGTGCCAACACAATTCTGAAGTTTATCTCCTGTTGGGGGATATTTAACAGCAACCTAGACCCACAAGAAATATGGTCATATCTTCCGCAGCTACGTATGTGTGAAGATCCAATTGGGTAGTGATTTAAAACAAACTACGCTATCCTAAGTCATGTTGAATAGTACCCAGTGTCACATACAGCGCATAAAAGAGACAGTCTGTCTGTTGAATCTTTCTTAACCTTGGTCTTACATAACAAAGTAGAACTCCGATATGTTTCACAGTGGCAAGGGGAGCACTATACAATTTCAGTCTAATTTAAAGAAGGAGCATTCCGTCACAAATATCAACAAACTAAACATCATATAATATAAATTGCCTTACACCCCTACTGTCTGTGAAGTAAGGATTGGTCTCGTACACATTTGTGTACAGAAACAAACTAGGTGCTAATGCTTGCTAACTCATAGCTAACAATAAAATATAGTCGGTGAGGATAGCACACATGCATTGCAGTAATATCAGAAACAACCAAAATTTAATTTGTGAAATCTCACTGTTGAAGTTGTTTCAGGAAAGCAATGCTGCTCTGTCTGTAGGCTAACCTCCCTTGCTACTGTAACTTAAAACATTATAGTTCATCAGGTTACAGTGTTAGTGCTGCTACTGAGCTAACAGAACCTCATCAGATGGAAAGGCGTAAAAGTGTAAGTAATCTTGTTTCTGTTTGCTATCAGAGCACTGACGTTAATTAAAAACAAGTCAGTCATTTGCAGCTCCACTGCACCATGCCATTGTTCTGTGTTTACGTTCATGGTTTAGTTATCTAATTTACAGAATTTATTTATTTCATTTATGATGTTTTCTGCATTTTCATTCAACTGAGCTTAATTTGACGCCACAAAAAAAGAACATATTTTGATTTATGAGCACAAAATGTAGATTTTTTTCATATATAACTGATAATGACTATATGTGTTTGAATAAAATGTGTTCGTGGCGTGAATATTAGTCTAAAAGAAGTACTGATTGAGACTTTAGCTTGGCCTTTTTTGCTGTAAATGGCTTGACAGTGTCCCTTGCCTTGATGGACAGAGTTGCTCTAGCTTTCCCAGCAGGTGCTGTAAGTTACTGAAAGACCAGTGAGTGTTTTATGAGTGCTGTTAGTCAGGCGATGGACGCTGACAGGATGTCTGGCGAACATCAAATGCAGAGCGATGGAAGTCGGCTGTGATTAGCAGCTAAGCTCTATTCTGACACCAGCCATCCATCTTTGTTGTGCCACTGTGAAAGCTCAGCCATCATGTCAGAGCTGGAGAAAGACCCCACTGTCACTGTAAATTTGTTCCTTCCTCTGCATTTATGAGCCATCATTTCTATTGAGTGTATATGGAATCATAATCAGGTTGTTAAGGAGGCGGGCTGAGAATGTTTGGGTGTAAAATATTTCACCTTAAAAGGAAGCTTAATTACATTCAGGAAATGTTTTATGAACGCCACCAGTAGATGACAGTGACAATTTGTGGAGTGAGTTTGCAATAATTGTGTTATAGAAACAAGTATTCATTATCTGTCCAATCTGTCGTGCCTTCATACATCCCAACCCTCCTCTTTCCTACTTCTTTCTTCTTATCTTGTTCCCTTCCTTACTGTACCCTAATCCCATCATGTGTCCTTTTTGTCCCTCCCATCTTATCTCCCCGACCTCCAGGGGAGCTGTGGCGTTTGGAGGATGATATGGAGGGCGAAGATGAGCCTGGGCATGGTGGGTGCACCGAGACCCGGCCTCGCTCCCAGTCTCCCTTTTCCCACTTCCGGGCGCGAGCTGCCTACCTCCGCAAGAGCGTCTCAGCAGACGACCACCTGGACATGGGCTCAGACTACAGCCCTGGGGCCGCAGTCGAGAGCAAACCAACCCGTGGCAGTAAGGGCAAGCTGAAGAGAAAATTTGTAAGTTTGTTTAAAATGTTTTTTTTTTACGTTCACAATTGTACGCACACAATGGCACGATATCACTCTTGGCTTTGGCTTAGACAGAAGTGTAGGGTAGATTGAATGTTATCCCTGCGAGGTTGCTACAGTACATCTGGCAATTTTGTAGAACAGGGCTTAAGTTTTCTTCCTCGCTGCGAGAATGTGCTGTCATGCTGACATGCACAGCAGCTCTCAAATGCAGACAGCATGTCTCACTGAACTTCACATGGCCCATTTTTCTCACCCTTTATCTTTAAGATTTTTTGGATTGTCATTTGTGTCCTCCACTTGCAGCTAAGCACCTAGTATCTGATCCTATGACATCACCATATAAATTAGGAAAAATAAAGTTTTCATCCTGAGGGGGTATCCTTTAAGGCAGCCGTTCTCAACCTGGGATCTGGGGACCGCCAAGGGTCTTTGACTAGAAGTTATCCTAATGAGATAATGAATAAGAAGGACTATTCTGTTCATAGGTTTCACACGTTTAACTGAAAATCTACAGTATAGACAATTGTGGAATAACTTTTAATAACAGGGGGTTCCCTAAGACCAGATTTGTATCAATTTGTGGGTCTTTGCTTGTCAGACAAAGATTACAGTAACAGCAACACACATTTTTACCACAACCCAGCACACAATTAAAGTTACAGATACAATATCTTAGTGTATTTGCAAAGATGTTTTTTCTCACCCCTCTCTGTAACATGGAACTGAGGCCATCCATGATGCATGGAAGATGTTGAAACAAGACTAGGCAACAAACCATGGTCTGAGTGTGTCTATATTTAGTATGATAATGTTAGTCCAGTTATAAATTTCTCTGTTGTTCTACATTTATTTTTCCTTATTAGTGAAGCAGAGCACCTTGTAAAATCCATTTTATTTTGAAGCTACTTCTGTGTGTGTTTGTGTGTGTGTGTGTGTGTGTGTGTGTGTGTGTGTGTGTGTGTGTGTGTGTGTGTGTGTGTGTGTGTGTGCAGGTGAGATGGGAGAGAAAACCAAGAAAGAAATATGTATTATCACAAATTGATATAATTAATATCACTGAAACATATATCGTCAATCAAGCTGTCAACATTGCTAACCCAAAGCTACCGGCTAGTTTCCAGCTCCTAAAACTGTTGGGCCCTGACCCAGTTCTCCATATTCTCTCTAACTGTGTGAGAATAATTGTCTTACTTGTGACTGTTCATTCAGAGAATTTATCTTTGCATTTTCATTTGTTTCTTTCATTGGATCTTTTGGGGGCAGTGATGCCAGACATAGACAGCTGGCTTGGTGAATATACATTAAAGATTGAAGACCTCTATAATGTCCCTTGGTCACTGGATCAGGTAACTGGAGACCTCATTACCAGCCTGAGCTTTGTAATTGATTCTCCAGTGTCACAGGTGCAACAGGACACCAGCATGGGTAGGGGGATAGTCTGGTGGGAGAAGTTTCTCTTCATAGTATACTACTGGATGTGGACGGATGCTGTCTAAATTGAGTTATTCACTGAATTTTGAGATCTAATCTTCACAGACATAAGTAGTTGAAAGAATCGTCTGAATTTCTAATGGAATTTACATCATAGCTCAAAAGTACTTTTAATTTATCATCACGGGCCCATGAACCAGACCTCGCTGCTTGGACAAGCACTTTGTGGGTACGATCAAAGACCAAAGTCAGACCTGGAGATACATCACAGAACTCAAAAAGACCGAACGGAAGCTCATTATACAAACTTTCATCACACTTCAGCATCTTGACCCGAACAGTCAAGTGTATCTGTTGGTGTAATGGGGACAGCACTGGATCTGATGACCTGCCGTGTGTGTTTTGGGGTGAGATTTCATGCAATCTTGTCTTGTGAATAGCACACTGCATTAGAGGCGGTATTAGGAGTGTGTTATTAATGCATTATTGCTGTGCTGTCATATCAAAATATAGTAATGGTTTTCACTCTTGCGCAGTGTAATACATTTGGTGGATGCTTTTACTCAGCTCCACAGGGACTGATCATCAGAGAGGCAGGTTATATAAGGCAGGTTTCTTCCCCTTAACAACGCCCTGCATTTCTTTCAACTATAAGAGACAACTGTCATTTTTTTAAACTTTGGAGAAATGCAAAGGAATGTTATTTTTTCCACTGTAGGGATGTTTATTATGTCTTCCGGATAATTCATTTTTTGCTGCCTGTCTTCTCTCTGTTTCTCTGTCAGTCTCTTTTCTTTTTCCTTTCTCTGCACAAAAGCAGCAGGGTTGGCATGTTGGTTACGGATGCAAGGAGAATACATTTAGAGTGTCTCATTGTTGCTCATCACTTATACGCTCGTGCTTCATGAAAATTACAGTGACAAAAACAACTGCAGCTTAGCCCGCTGGCTCACACAAACAACAGTTGGGCTGCAATGTTGTGGCATGGAGGCGTGTTACTCTGGAGGCTGACAGTGACACAGCAGAGCAACAATGCTTTAATATCAGAGCAGTGATGCAGCAGCACATACTGAGTTACACTGAGGAATTGTGCGCCAGTATTAAATACATATATGCTGTATATTACAAAGCCACAAATTTAAATGTAAATTTATCACATCATTGAAACCAGGTAATATTTGTTGGGTGAACGAATGTGTCCCAGTTTCTGTGTTTACACGTTTGATTTATTTATGCAGAAGTGAGAGACTATAATCTTAGTAAAGAAAGGGCAGACAGCGCTTCTAAGTGTGTATGTGATTATTTGTGTAGTAAAGTAAAAGAGGAGAGGAGGGAGGGAGAGAATATAACTCCATGTTTGTACGGCTGCCAAACTGTGCATTACTGTGAAAGTTAATTATCTACCGTAACAGTATCATCTCGTCTCCAGCAACTTTCCCTCTTAACTATCACGCTCTGAGGGCCACATATCTTCTAGGCTCAAGGTCACACCTCTCTAATTCTGGATCATACAGCACAATATAGCTGTTTTCCTTTTAACATCTTAGGTTAGAAATGCAACCATGTAATATGCACAAAAGAAGCCGCTTGTGACTTTAATCCCCTTTAATCTTTAATGCTCAGCTCGGCTATATGTTAAATTACAGCAATAACAACGTGGGCTGAAGTGCAAAGCTAGCATTGCTAAAAACATACTATAAAACACAGCATTTGTAGGAAATGGAACTACTGTATCTAGCTAGAATTGACCTACTCCTACATAGTCAAATAACTCTGTAGGATTGGATAGTGGTCTTTGTGTGTGTACGTACAGTATTTGTATGGACGTATGTGACTTAGGTATCAGGTATATCTATCCAGTACTGTTTCCTGTTGTGCCACTGTAAACAATGCTGTCTGCAGAACAGCCAGGATGTGTCGCCTGATAACATCGCTCGTTTCAAATCGAGTCACACCTCATTCCTCATACTGCTCCACAATATTAGTTTGACACCTTGGCGCTGATCTGAAGTCACCTTCATGCTCCTGGAAGCATTTTGAGAGGATGACAAATTATACCTGTACCGTTAAAAAAAGAAAAAGTCTAGACTGTAGCCAGCGATATAGCTTGACCTACTGTACTCACTCAGGTAGCTTTTTCTGAGGTGATGATACCAGTGTGCCTCATATAAACAATCAAAATACATTCAAGCTTTATTGTTTTCATCAATCATAATTTAATCTCTTGACATAATGCAATTTACTCGTATTGGATTTATTTTAAATGAGTTTGCAAGTGTGAGTGAAAATCTGTTTACCTCTGTAAATATGTGTGTCTGCAAATACACTCAAAGCGTAACGGCAGCGCGCTAACGGTCTGAGTAACCACATAATCAGAGCACAGGCCGTATCATTTGTGTTGATTGAATGGCTGTAGCTACATAATGCTTTGTTCGTGCTTATTTGCAGCACTTCAGTCTGACACACTCTCTGTTTGCAAGATGACTCACAAAGTTCCTCTATGAAATAAAACAAGGGGAGTCAATTTTCCTTTCATTTAGTTATAAACCAGGAGTTCAAATAGTTGTTTGTCTCAACTTCCGGATTCACTGGAAATCCACGGGAAACACCACAAGACAAATCAAACACATAATTTACATACTCGCATGCATGCAGGTCTCAGCACTGGCAGGAAACTCAGTGGTACCCAGTTTGTCCAATGAAGTGAATGATATTCAGCATGTTGCTTTGGTCGAAAGGCTCTGGGTTGTCCGGATTGGTTTAAGAGAAATGCCGCTGTTCCCTGCGCCTCTCTTTGGAATTATTAATGCTGAAACTGGCACAGAGTGTGCTCACACTTAATCATTCATAAACACACACATAAAAGATAGCCAGAGAACATTTTGCTCAAAAACAGCTATCAGATATTGAAATGGCATTGGCGAAGTTTTCATGGAGAGCTTAGAAGTGATACAGTACAGTGAGTTCTGAGGTTTAACTTACCACATGATCTGTTTTTAAATCAGCACATTTGCCTCTCAGAAAGCATTCACCTGACCTACCGGTAATCAAAAATTTCCATCAACAGCACTAAGGCTTCTGCATAGCAATTGCTTTATTTTTTTATTTTTTTATTTCTACACAGCCTAATCCTCTACTCATTACAAAATACCTTCAATGATTTTATTCCAAGAATACTGAATCTATTGTGTCCTTGTGAAGAAAGATCTTACTCTTGTTTTGCGAAAGAGACACATCTCTGCTTTACAGCACTTAAGTTGTTTATTTCCCATCTGCTTTGACCAGTTTTGTGCTACAGACTAAACCTCTTTTTGGACGCAATGTTTTGTTTCTGCAATGAATCATGGGGCTTTCCATTTGTTTCCACTGGCTAAGTCACCATCTGATACATCCTCAGATGGCATTTTAAACTTCTGTATGTCAAAGCAGCTCACAGTGGATGGTTTTCTTATTCTGAAATACAAAGAATTGTAATGAGAATACATCCAAAAGACTGAGATAAAACAGGTGCATGAAGCCTTAAATTATTACTGTCTCTTTTAGATTTTCCCTTT